GGTACCTCAATTTAAGATTATTTTTGAAAGGATATACCATCAAGCCAGAGAAACTATCCAGCTACTTGAATCATTGGAGCCCTGGTGGCACAGAGGTTAAGAACTTGGCTGTTAACCAAAAGGTCAGCAGTTCGAATCTACCAGCCGCTCCTTGAAAACCCTATGGGGCAGTTCTACTCTGTCTTGTAGCGTCCCTATGAGTTGAAATCAACTCAGTAGCACTGGTTTTGGTTTGGTTTTTTTACCTGAATCATTATAGGCTCTAGGAAAAGAGTTAGCAGCTCTCTCATAGGATTCAAACGTGAGTAGAATAGCATCGTTAATAATGCAGTTACTTCCTGTGACCCTGTTAACTATTCCCAGGAGAGAAAATGCAAAGCAAATAATGCCCATTGCATATCAGAGCTATGGGGTCAGTGAAAAATTATACCTTCTTCCTTATAAGTACAGTAGGATGTGGAAATGTATTAGCACTGCTAACAAACTGCGTTCAGATTATTGTCATTGAAGCAACAGAACAACATTCCACATTTTCAGAAGAATCATAGCGGCCCACTTCTTTTAAAGATTTCTTTCTCATTGTAGTTGCCAACATCAATTATTTTTATTGTTATATGTTTTGTTTTCAAAGAATTATAACCTTGCAGAATGCTGAAAATTCAAATTAAATTAAAATTGAAAAATATGTATTAAATAATACTCCAACTTAAAATGGAAGAACTAGGGAATTGCAGGATAAAAAATGAAATTTATTAAATAAATAAAATTAGAGCAATACCAATGTTTGAAATTCAGTTCCAGGATTCTTTGAACCAAATACTTGGCAGCTCCCCAGATCATGTTAATTGCCTTTTTGTGTATACATTTCCATATGCTGACTCATTATTTTGGCTTAAAATGTAATCATTATAACAAGATTGGGAATATTTAAATATGCTTCCCTTTCATGCTTGCCTTATGGAACTAATCATTTATGAACACAAACTATTTTATCTTGAAAATATTTTTCTAAAGTATTTTTAGTGTTTGTAAAATAGACCAGATAACACCACAGTTGCGTTTAACATACATAAGGAAGGAACTGAAGTTATAGACATTTTAAATATCCTCACCCTACGGATGAGATTCATTTTGACCAGAACTCTAGAGTGCCTGGCCTTTGGTAACATGGGATGCCCAGGACACCTTGACTCCAGACCAAGGGGGAGCAGAGCACTCTCTGGGTTCATTTCCTTTTGTCACAAATTCACCATTTTAGTGTCAAATGCCTACTTTCTATAAATATGAAATTAGAGTCATTCAAATACACAGATTCCTCAGTGGACTCAGAATTTGAAGTCAAAAAAGATCTTCGAGATCATTTTGTTCATCTCCCTCACTTTGTGAGTGAGCAGGACTTGGTTTTGACTCAGTGCAAGTTTGCTATACAAGAAAGGAGGCAGCCATTCCCCAGAACAACATGCACACACACACTTGAGCTGTGTTGTTAGCCCGTGGCCCAGTGGTGGCCCACGGCCCATGATTTGCTCTGTCCTCTCCCCCAGACCAGGCCCCAGACCTTTACACCTTTGCCTAAGAAAAGGCAAGTGACCTTCTTTGATATCTGGATACAGTTGTGCCCTTTCTGACTTCTTGAACCTCTTCCCTGACTACATTTAAAAGCCAGTGAAACTATTGATGTTTTTACTAAAATGCATTAATTCTGTAAGTTAAAAGAATTGTAATAGCCATCTTTTCATAGAAACATACCATGTATCCTAAACCCAGCTTTCTTTCTATTAGCGTGACATACCCTTTGCCAGTGCTTTTAATTTTCTTGCTTCCTGTATAATTAAATAGTGATAGAAAAGGCTGCCTTTTTCTTCTCAATAGAATGTGTACAAGGAAGAAGGAGGAGAGAGTACGTAACCAATTTTAAATCTTAATTTTTTGTATCGTATTGAAAATTTTTTAGTATATCTCTGGTTTTCTCTTGATTAATCATATTAGTGGCAGAGAACAAATGCATGGATAGACCAAAAGTAATTTGTGTATTAGTGTAGTACACATTCACTGCTTACCTTTCACAACTGAGTATACCAGGACACCCTCCAATGCCTGGAACCAGGAACCACTCCCTGAAGATCTGGAAAGTGGGTTGGGCTTCTTCAGCATCCTGTCCTCTTCTCCAGGATGAAGTCATCATCCCCTCCTATGCAGATACTGCTTCATGTTGTGGCTTTGTTTTTAATAGTTCATCTACAGCATAGAAATTGTAGTTTTATTTAATAGGCCCACTGACTTTGGTTGATGATGGGTGGAATAAAAAAATATGTCGTAACAACAAATTTATGGCCAATTATTTTGTACATTTTCCACGTGTTAATAAAATTTGAAAATAGCTGTTCATCCTATTTGGATGCTAGTATATTCCTTTGCTCTAAGCCACCCGTGAAAATAAAAGCTGATTCACATTCCCAGATCCAAATAAATTTAGGACATTTTCTAAAATAAATGAATTTATCTGTCTTTTATTTCTGTTTATTTTTTGTTAGGTTTGCATGTAAACCTGTATTTGGAATAAAATAGAGTTTGTTCTAAAAAGCAACAGCCTGAAATTTCAGATACCTGTATCTTCATTTTGTTCTGTTTTTCCATTTTCACCCGCATTCTTCAGCAGCCTGGCAGCAGAGGCAGTGAAAGAACTGAAAGGATTCACCCAGATTTGGGAATGATATAAGCCAAAGAGCAAGGGGGTTAGGAAATCTAGGAGACGCCAAAAGCAGCATTTAAATGGGGTCCAACTTAGAAAGAGAAGACAGTGAGAAGTCCACAAGCCTCCAAGACCTGACCTCAACTTATCCTTATAGCCTTCTCTTACACCAACTTCCCTTCCTACCTTTCAACAGTGTAGGGAACTACCTCTAGTTCCTGGCTAGCCCCTCCCTCTGCTTGTGTGTTCCCTCCATGCCCAGATTCTCCCTCACTAACCCTTACTTATACTGCAAGACTTAGCTCAGGAGCCTCTTCCCTGAAGAAGCCTTTCTGTGATCTCATCATGTTAGAGCACATGTTCTGGCTCTAGATGTGCAAAGAACTCTTCACAAATTTATCTTGGCATTTACCGTGTCTGCTGGAATTATTTATGTCTAGGTCTTTTCTTTGCCATTACACCATAAGCTCTTTGAGAGCAAAATGATTTATTCATCATAACTGTTCTTGTAACCCAGTGCCATACGTAGTCCCTGGGAAGTAGTAGGCATACAATAAATGTGCAACTGAACTAAAACCAAAATGTGGTTTTTTTGTTTTTAGGTATCTCAAAGGGAATTTATTGGTCAGAAGAGTAATTGATGTTATCCTTTATTTGAGTCACCCCATATGTCTTGAAGTTTTGAGTGGCTTTCCAAAAATAAACTCTGCTGAAGAGTATGACCATGTCTCAAGTGCCACTTTATGTATATGTGTGTGTGTATATGCTTAGGTCTAACTCTTTTTAAAAATAAACAGAAAAGATTGAAGTTGTCAAGGATTTCATTTTACAATCAACACCCATCGAAGCAGCAGTCAAGAAATCAAAAGACACATTGCATTGGGCAAGTCTGCTGCAAAAGACCTCTTTCAAGTGTTGAAAAGCAAAGATGTAACCTTGAAGATTAACGTGCGCCTGATCCAAGCCATGGTATTTTCAGTCGCATCATATGCATGCAAAAGCTGGACAATGAATAAGGAAGACCGAAGAAGAATTGACACCTTTGAATTGTGGTGTTGGCGAAGAATATTGAAGATACCATGGACTGCCAAAAGAACAAACAAATCTATCTTGGAAGAAGTACAACCAGAATGCTCCTTAGAAGCAAGAATGGCGAGAGTATGTCTTACATCCTTTGGACATGTTATCAGGAGGCATCAGTCCCTGGAGAAGGACATCGTGCTTAGTAAAGTAGAGGGTCAGCGAACAAGAGAAAGACCCTCAACGAGATAGATTGACTCAGTGGTTGCAACAATGGGCTCAAGCGTAACAACAATTGTGAGATGGCGCAGGACTGCGCAGTGTTTCGTTCTCTAGTACATAGATCCACTGCAAGTCGGAAATGACTAGATGGCACCTAACAACAACTTTTTAAAAAGCATTTTTCCAAGATGGGCTATAGTCAATAATTTTTGAAGCTCATGTCTTTGACCCCTGTCAGAATTGAGTTATATGATTTTGTTGAGATACTTGAGCATAGATTAAATAGGTCAGAGAATGCGTGAGTACCTTAGAACATATGCTCTTTGTGTATATTTACATATGTAAATAGTATGAATGAAAGAAGAAGAAGAAAGGAAGTTCATTGGTGGAGGGAGGGCTTGGAGAGGGGTTGAGTGAGTATATAACTAATGAATCTTTGAAATTTATCTTATATCCAAGTAAATTTTTGTGTATAATGTGAATGTCTGTAAAATTCCATGGAATCTCGGGCTGAAATTAAAATGTTGAAGGGATTTCTGTAGGGTTTTAGGCATGATAATGTGTTTTTTATCTGATTTTGTTTTATATACTACTTGGGCTGATTGTACATCTTTGTATAGCATGTGTACCTTGCAGAATATTTGCCTGTTTATCAACAGTGAAGACCGAGTAACTTCTTTCTCACTGAAATCAACCCTAGTTTTAAATTTGGAGATAGAAGTCAAAGCTTGAAACCAGTAACCGCTCAAAGAAAACTATGTTCTGGAAAACATCCAGAGTGGACTGTTAGCTGAGATGTCATTATTAAAAAAGTTATCTTTCACTTCTACTCTTAAAAAAAACAATTTGTTGCCGTCGAATTGATTCCAACTCATGGTGACCCCATGTGTTTCAGAGTAGAACTGCTTCATGGAGTTTTCTTGACTTTAATCTTAATGGAAGCAGATTACCGGGCCTTACTTCCATGGCACTGGTTGGTGAGTTTGAACTGCCAACCTTTAGGATTAAGAGTTGTGAAAGTGGAATTAGTCTGACCTGTAGCTCTTCAATGTCTTCTCTTCTTTAGTGGGATTGGAAGTAACTGGCCCTGGGCCTCAGGAGGCAGCAGTATTCTGGCAGAATTTGGAACCCTGCATTTAGAGTTTATGCACTTGAGCTACTTATCAGGAAACCCCATTTTTGCTGAGAAGGTGAGATTCTCCAATATGCTTTGCACTGCAAACAACCTGGGAGATTTAGTACTGTTGTATGTGGAAAAGAACAACCAAGGTTTGTTCAGCAGTTTATGAAGTTTTGTTACATGCAGCATTTCATTTAACTAAGTGGTGAACTCACATTCTTTCCATGGCACCATCCTACCTCACAGTGAGAGGACCTGTCTTTCACATCTGGCTCTCTATATCTCATGCAAGTCTCTTTATGTCTCTGAGTCTTTCCTTCATGTGAAGATAGATAGCATTGTATGGACTGTATGAGCCAAGTATGTGAAAGACTTTTAGAACTCAAAGTATTATACAAATGAAAGGTCACAATTGAATCAATTTCTAATGTTTAGGCAGCAAACACATAGATGTTTGGATAAATTCATATTCATCCCCACAACTCTGCCTCTCTAGCTTTCACCCTGCTTCTCTGCTCCCCTTTACAGCAAAATTCCTTGAAACAGTTGTCTCTGTTTGCTGTCTTCAGTTGCCTTCTCCCACTCTCTTGAACTCTCTCCAGTTGTGCTTTTCTCCCAGCCACACCTGTCATGGTGACTACTGATCTCCAGTTTGCCAAATCCAGTATTCCATCCTCACCTCTCATCCTCCTTGCCCTCTCAGCTTTGACACTTCTTCCTTCATGAAACATTCTCTTCACTACGAATGAGGCGTACAGTACTTCCCTAATTTGCCTTCTTTGTCGCTGTCGCTCCATCTCAGTCTCCTTTGCTGGATCCCCCTCATTGCCCCAACCTCAAAATATTGGAAAGACCTAGGATTCAGACCTGGACCTCTTCTTTTTATTTTCACTGCCTGCATTATCTCTCCCAGTCCCATGACTTTACATACAGTCTACATGCTGTCAATGCCATATTTATAATTCTAGCCCCAACCTTTCCCCTGAACTCCAGATTCTGTATCCAATTTCTCCACTAAGAGGTTTAATAGACCTCTTTAAAATGCCTCAGAGCCAACTTCCAGACCTGCTTCTACCCCAGTCTTCACTATCTTGGTAAATAGCATCTAAGTTTATCCAGTGGCTCAAACCAAAAATCTTACAGTCATCCTGGTTCCTCTCTTTTTGGTAAATCCAGGCCCAAGCCATCAGGCAACCTCTTTGGCTCTGTCCTATTATCTCTGCTGCCAACCTGGTGTAAGGAGCCATCGTCTCTCACCTGCATTTCTGTAGTAGCCACCTGACTGCTGCTTCCAACCTTGCCCCCTCAGTTATACCAATCCTGTAAAAACACAAGTCTTCAGTGGCTTCCTGTCACCCTCAGAACAAAATGAGTCCTCAGATATGACCCCTGAGGCCTGCATGAACTGGGCATGGCTACCTGTCTTTTCTGCTGTTTGACATTCACCCCTTTGCTTCTTCACCTCCACCTTCAGTGGCCTTGCCAAACACACTATCTTTTCAGGGCTTTTGTACTTGGTCCTCCCTTGCTCTAGAATTCTGTTCCTCCAAGTTTCTGCATGGCTTGCTTCCTCACTTCACTTAAACCTCTGCTCAAAGACTATCCCATCAGCCTTCCTGGACCACCCTGACTGATGTAATACAGCCTCTTCACCCACATCACTCTGTACCACTACACTTTTATTTTTTTCATAGCATTTATCATTGCCTGACATATCTTATGTATGTTTATTATCTGTGACATATCTTATGTATGTTTATTATCTGTATCATCCCACTAGAATGCAAATTCCTAGAGAGAGGGTCTTTACTTATCTACTGATACATCTCTAGTTCCTAGAACAGTGTCTAGAATATAATACATAATCAATCAATGTGACTGTCTTCACTTACTGCTATAATTTTTGTAATAATAATAGGCTAGGGCTGACTGTCTTGCTTCTAAGTGTACATCATTTAATGCAATTTACTTTTTTTTTTTCCTAAAAAGGAGAAATGTAATCAAGAAAGAACGAAGAACGGCATCAAAGTTGTTTTTTAGATTTTTATAGTAACATTTCATTTTCTCTTGTAGGTAATGAATATTCGAACAGTCCTGAACAATCTGGAAAAACCACAAGGCCTTTATCCTAACTATCTGAATCCCAGTAGTGGACAGTGGGGTCAACGTAAGTCAAAAGAACAACATTGTTTTAGCTCCTTATGGTACCCAGCACTATGCTAGGGGCAGAGAGAGGGAGCACAAAAGAGACACAAATCTAGCTGAATGTTTAGAAAAGAAGATAGGGGCATGGTTCCTTTAACAAACAGGTTTCTGTCATAAGACAGAATGTGTTACCAGAGAACCAGAGGGTTTTTTTTTTTTTTTCCCCATGTGTAACATGATGGCATAACAGCGTGTTAAACCTATCTATCAGAAAGGGAAGACCTGGTCGGAGGGTGTGGGGATACTAGCCTGGAACAAACTGATCATGTGGCTAGAACGGAAAATTGTTCCTTTGTATTAATGGCTATCAGAGTTTTGCAGAGAGCACCTTTAACATTCTACCTCATAACGTTTCTCTCTTTCTGCTTGGCTACAAGATGAGAGAGGAGCCTGAATCATTAAGAGATGAGAAATTGGAAGACCGAACAGGGTGTTTTCTCTACTTAATTTGAAGGCAGCAGATAAAGGTTTCTTGCCAGTAGAGCCACCTTAGGGGTAGAAGAATGTGTTGTATAGGGCTTTTGATGCCAGAAGCCCTTACTTCAGACCTTTCAGGGACTTTTGACCAGGGGTATAAAGATTCAGGATAGTTGATAGAAATATTCTCAGCTGATTTGGAAAAAACAGTGATATGTTAAGCAGCGACTGAAAGCAAGTAAAGAATTCCAAGTGAGGTACCTAGCTATGTCTATAGCCCACAATGCCTTAAAATTTTACTCTAATTTGGATATTTTCTTTATATTTAAATATCATATTTTTAGATAATTATGCTTCACTGTTACTTTAAAAGTATTTTTTTTCTTTAAATTTTATTTTGTTGTTGAGAATATACATAGGAAAACATACACCAATTCAACAGTTTCTACATGTACCATTCAATGATATTGATTACATTCTTTGAGTTGTACCACCATTTCCACCTCCCTTTTCTGAGTCGTTTCTCCCTCATTAACATAAATTCACTGCCCCCTAAGGTTCCCATCCAATCTTTCGAGTTGCTGTTGTCAATTTGATGCCATATAAATCGTTCTTTTTTTTCAATTGTACTTTAGATGAAAGTTTACAGAGCAAATTAGTTTCTCATTAAACCATCAGTACACATATTGTTTTGTGACATTGGTTTCCAACCCCACGACATGTCAACACTCACCCCTTCTCGACCTTGGGTTCCCTATTACCAGCTTTCCTGTCCCCTCCTACCTTCTCATCCTTGCCCCTGGGCTGGTGTGCCCATTTAGTCTCATTTTGTTTCATTAGCCTGTCTAATCTTTGACTGAAAGAAAGGTGAACCTCAGGAATGACTTCAGTACTGAGTTAAAAGGGTGTCTGGAGCCATACTCTCTGGGTTTCTCCAGTCTCTGTCAGACCAGTAAGTCTGATTTTTTTTGTGAGTTAGAAATTTGTTCTACATTTTTCTTCAGCTCTGTCCAGGATTCTCTATTGTGACCCCTGTCAGAGCAGTTGGTGGTGGTAGTCAACTACAACAGTAGTTGAGTTGTGCTGGACTCAGTCTAGTGGAGGCTGTGGTAGTTTTGGTCCATTAGTCCTTTGAACTAATCTTTCCCTTGTGTCTTTGGTTTTCTTCATTCTCTCTTGCTCTAGATGGAGTGGGACCACTATAGAGGTATTTTTTAAAGAATAATCTAGTAGAAAAAAAATGTGTTAAAGTCTATGTCTGTGTGTTAGTAATGACTGTGGAGGGTCTAACTATTGAGATCATAAGGCCCTGGTCAATTTTGCACTTACCTGCACTTACAGAATGTGCACATAGAGAGCAAGGTACCTGGAAGCTTTTGGTATGCCTGGGTCTACTATGGGTAGCTTAGCTGGTGGTTTAGCACCCTGTATGCAGCTAAGATTCTTGATTAAGAATTAATAGTAAGTGCTTAGATGTAAAAAGATCAGACTTAATGGTCTGACAGAGACTGGTGGAACCCCCGAAACTATGACCCCCAGATTCTCTGTTATCCCAGAACTGAAACCATTCCCCGAAGCCCACTTTTCAAAGATTAGACAGGCCTGTAAAACCAAAAATAATACACGTGAAGAATGTGCTTCTTAGTTCAGTCAAATATACGAGACCATATGGACAGCTCCTATCCAAAAGCAGGATGAGAAGACAGGAAGGGACAGGAACTGGACAAATGGACACGGGGAACCCAGGGTGGAAAGAGGGAGAGTGCTGTCAAATTGCGGGGATTGCAACCAGTGTGAAAACAATATGTGCATAAATTTTTGAATGAGAAATTAACTTGAGCTATAAACTTTCACCTAAAGCACAATAAAACAAATTCTTTTAAGGAGGAGAAAAAAAAGGATTACAGCCTTAGAAACCCTATTGGACAGTTCAGCTCTGTCTTATAGGATCACTGTGAGTCAGAATCAACTTGATGGCAACAAGTTTTTGTTTGTACTAACATACAGATTTATGTATGTATCTTAATGAATTATATGCCATATACTATTTTGCTGCTTTCCTTTTTTACTTCATGTTAATAAAAATAACAACAAACCTAAAAATTAATAATAATAATAATAAGTGCTTAGAACAGTACCTGCAATGTAGTTAATGCTTAATAAAGTTAGCTGCTGTTGTTGCTGTTGTTATTGTGGTGGTGGTGGTTGTTAAAATAGCAAGGGGCAAATAAATAGTGTTGTATAAGGTGCCAGCAAGTTTCATAGGTTGAAGTATTAGAAAAACATGAAATATCGCAATATATCACTGATGACAAAATCGTCATTTCTGTTGTTCAAATTGTAAGCACTGTTGAGTTGCAGAGAAGGCAAAGATCAATGGGAGCTGTCATGGCTCAGGAAGGGGAGACTTGGACTAAAGGTGGGCCTTAATACTCCAGAGTAGGGTTAAAGAGAGGAGGAGGAGACAAGGAGGAAGAGAATGAGCAAAGGCACAGAGAAAGCATTAAGATTTTACTTAAAACTATACTAGTTTCTAGAGCAGCATTTCTCAAAAGGTGGTGGTCTGCAGACCCCTGGAAGTCTCTGAGACCTTTCAAGGCATCCAGAAGGTCAAAGCTATTTGTATAATAATACTAAGTCATTTTTGCCTTTTTTAATGTGTTAACACTGCATTTATGGTGCAAACGCAATGGTGGGAAAACTTCTGAACCCTTAATGAAAACCAAAGCAGACATACCGAATTGTACTACTAGCCGTTGTATTCTTCACTGCAGTTTAAAAAAAAGTCACCAATTTCATTCTTGTATGTTCTTAAAGCAGTAAAAGTTACTGATTCTAGCAAATATCAATTCTTGAGCCCACATTTTTGTACTATTCTGTGAGATGAAATGGAAAGTACAAATAAAGCACTTCTGCTGCATAATGAAAAATGGTGGTTGCCTTGAGGAAAAGCACTTGTGAGGTTATTTGAGTTGCAAGCTAAACTAGCCACTTGTTGTTTCATGAAACACCATTTTTACTTGAAAGTGCAAGTATGGATATTCAGACTTGGATAATTGGTAGACCTGTTCTTAAAAATGAGTCTGTCACTTCAAGGAGAACAGAATGTCATAAGCCAGATAAAATTTGTGAGCTTCTAAATGAAAATCAGAATTTAAAAAAACCTGTACCTGCCACCATGAGCTTGCTCACTTCCCGAAACTTAAAGACTTTTCTGATGAAATTGGTAATGATATTAACAAATATGTTATTTTTTAAACGTATAATGAAATGTATCAATATTTGGAAGATCTTCATAATTTGGTGAACCATTATTTTCCAAATGACCAATACATGCTGTTATAAAATCAGGTGTGAGAAAAACATCATTCAAAGTGTGAGATAAATAATGGATTTTAATGTAACAAGGAACAAATACTCACTGATGTCATTTCACATTGCAACTAATCTTTAAAAACTTTAACTTTTAAAAAAAGCACTTGTCAAGTTTTTTGAAGTATCAAAGAAAAATATCCACAATTACATGAAAAGGCTATTAAAGTAGTTTTCTCTTTTCTAACTATGTATTTGTGTGAAGCTGAATTTTCTTCATACGCTTTAGCCAAAACAACATATGCAACCCATTGAATGTAGAAGCAGATAGGAGAATCCAGCTGTCTTCCAGTAAGCCAAATACTAGAGATTTTCAAAAATATAAAACAATGTCACTCTTGATACTAAATTTTTCATTTTGTAAAGTACATTTTTATGAGAAATAATTATACATGTTAACATAATGTATATATTACTATTATTTTTAATGAGTTTATAAAAATAATTTAAAGTTTTGTTTTAATTTCTAATATGGTAAATATTGATAGAGATTATTCACATAAACAAAAACTGTTTGGGGGTCTTCAGTTATTTTAATGTGTAAAGGGATGCTGAGACTAAAAAGTTTGAGAACCACAGGAGCATTGAGTGGCTTTCTAAATGCAAGATAACTAGATTTAAGTTCTCTAAAAGGACAGATATTTTGAGTTCTCCTTCTCATCAAAGGTTTTGAAAGTTGAAGAAAAGACTCTCTTGTTTACTGCTTTCTTCCTTTATGATTTACTGTGAAGAGAGACAAAAACAGCCAGTTATACTGGAACATCCCAGCTTCACCTTCCGGGTCACCCATATCCTATGTGTTTGGCCATGTTTCCTGGTACAAAGAACCCTTTATATTTGAATTGCTTATGGGCCAATTTCCTGATGGAGAAACAAACAGGATTGATGAGTTCCATGTCTCATCCCCTACCCCATCCTGTGTTCTAGCCACAGTGAAGACACACTTATTTTTTTATTCTCCAATCAAGCCCAGGTGGCCATACCCAGACGTTTGCTCATACTGGTTCCTTAGCCCGCTACCTCTCCTTTACCAAGGCCAGCTGAACTGTCATTTCTTCCATGAGGCATTCTTCTTCAAGACCCTAGTTGAAATTGTTAGTACTCACTCCTCCTCTGTTCATCCCCTTCTTCCTCTCCTGCCACAGCACTTTGGATACCTTCCTATCTCAATCCTTTTCCTAATGATTCATATATCTACCCATCTCCGTAGTGATCTAAAGCTTTTGAGGCCAGTAACTATGCCTTCTTCATATTTGTTAACCAGCATACATTATCTTTCACCTAGTAGGTGTTTACTTACTTGAATTTTGAGAATACTTGTGTACTCCATGTCCAGCTTCACTTTCTGTTTCTGATTTTAATAATGGTCCTATTTATTCTCTTTTAATAATTAACCCCTACTCCTTGGTTGGATTGAGAGACAGCATCTGGTGCCGTCACTGATAATATAAACAGCTCTTATGGCCGCGAAGGCCAGAATATGGTACTCTGTGCGTATGGACAGAACAATTATCACTTGTCTCTGCTTTATATAATGGCATAATCATCATTGACATAATAGGGGGATTGCTTTGAGGAAAGAACTTCAGATTTAATGAAGTCTACAAAAAATGAAGAGATAACAATATTGAATATTCTAATCATTCTTTGTCTTGATTCTTTTGATCTTTGTTTCTCTTTTTCTCTTTTTAGGTATTAGGAACCCTTAAGGTCAAACACTTAATCTCATTTCAGATACTTTTATGGGACCTATTCCTATCAGGAGGAGCCCTGGTGGACAGGGGTTAAGCACTAAGCTGCTAACCGATAGGTCAGCAGTTCGAACCCACCAGCTGCTCCATGGGAGAAAGATGTGGCAGTTTGCTTCCATAAGGATTACAGCCTTGGAAACCCTACAGGGCAGTTCTACTCTGCCCTATAGGGTTGCTATGAGTCAGAATCTGCTTGGCAGCAACAGGTATTCCTATCAGGATGAAAAGAATAAATTACCTCCTTTAGAGAAGAGCATATTTGAGTGACTAACAGTACACATTACATTTAGAGCAGTTGGGCATAAAAATATTATGTGTGTTGTTTCTAGAAGCAGGTGATCCTTCTCTGCTGATAAAATCAGGTGTGTCCTCTCCCACATCCACTAAGTTGTTTACACAGGGCTCTGTTGCCAACACAGTCAGCCAGACCTGGAGGAAGCTTAGTGAGTGATATGCTAAATTATCAGAACTAAGACTTTTTCTTGCTTCTCCTCTACATTCCTTTATATTGATTCTTTCCAAATGTAAAAAATTTTAGGCAGGAAATAAAAACTAGAAAATTTCCTAGCACTTACCAGAATTAATTAAAACAAATGTAGTATTATATAATCCTTTTTCCTTTTTAAAAAATCCTCCAGATGCCTAAACTTGCTTCTTCCATCCATTACAGAATCATAACCCAAGCGGAGCGAAAAATCAAGCTGCTTCTAGCTGTTAGTTTTCAACTCTCATCATTTTAACTCTGAAGGACATGTCTGGATCATGGTCATCATTTACCATTACTTTGTTTAGTCCTTGTTATTTTGACAGTGATCCGGCAGTGATTTGCTTTACCATGCATCACTTGCATTTGTCTCCTGCAATCATGTTTATAACAACAGGGCTTATTATTGATGAGATAGTACTTGGTCTATTTAGTTTGCAAATGTCAGAGGTTTCCGTGGTGATTTATTTAGGAAGCTGTAAAGGTCACTTCAAACACTGCTATTTTAAGAATCAGCCTTACAATTTTAAAAACAGATTTTTGCATTAAAATTAAAACTATAATTCTGTGCTTTCTGCAATTAGAAAATTGTGTATTTACTCTATTTAAAAATATGGCCCTTCTAGCTTGAACAGGTATAGTTCTTACTAAGATTCACTTAGGAAAACTCTACTTTATTCATTAATTGTTTATTGAGTACCTACTATGTACAAGACATTTTCTAGGAGCTCGTGTAGACTGGGAAATGTAATAGGCCTTATCCCTGCTTTCCTGGTTCCTGGTCTCATAGAAGAGATAGAAAAAAATTCCACCATATTATGAAAGTACAGGCGTGGTAGATTTGTGCTATCAAAAAGCATAATAAGGAAACCTAGTAGGGGAAGTCGGGGAAGTAACATTTGATCCCAGATATGAAGTATGAATAAGAATTAACTAAAGAAGAAAGTGGCCTGGGAATGCATTTCAGGCAGAAAGAAAAGCACCTACAGAAGTCTTGAGGTGGGAAGGGGCCTGATGTTTTTGATGGACCAAAAGAAAGGCAATGTGCTAAGAGAGCAGAGAGCAAGGGAAGCAAGACTGATGCTGTAAAGAAGATTGAGAATCACGCAGGGCTTCTAGGTCTCCCCAAGGATTTGGGTCTTTGCCATTGACAGACTTCAGGTAAGGGAGTGATCAGATTCGTGTGTTATAATGGCTTCTGCGGCTTTGATGTGGGGAATAGATTGAAGTGCTGCTGCCATTGGAACTTTCTGCGGTGATGGAAATGTTCTATATCTTCCCTGTCCAGTGTAGTAGCCAAGGACCACATGTAGCCTTTGAGCACTAATGTGACTGAAGAACTGAATTTTTTGTTTAATTTTAATTAATTTAAAATTCAGTAGCCACATGCTATCGGAGAGAATATAGAAGGACCAGATAATAGTCACTGAAAACTCAGAGGCAAGAGATAGTGTCAGCTTGGGCTAGGGTTGTATTGGTGAGGACAAAGAGGAGTGGGTGGATGCAAGAAGTATTTAGGAAGTAAAATTAATAGATTTTGGATACCTTTAGGTATGGAAACAGGAAGAGGAGCAGTACAGGATACCTACTTGATTTCTGATACATGCATTTGGGAGTATGATGGTACCATTTACTGAGATAGGGACCAAAGCAGAAGACAAGGTTGAGAAGTAAAAGATAATTAATTCAGTTTGTAACCTGTTTAATCTCAGATGCCCCTATAGACATCCAAGTGAAGTTGTTGGATAGGCATCAGGAGAAAAATTGTCTTGGTAACTGTATAAATATGCATTTGTTTTTGTATAAGTCAACAAATAAAATTTTTATTTTTTTTAAGTAGGTGAATAAAATTAGTTTTGAGTTTTGAAATTTAACATTCAGTTATCCAAAGTAAGGCAATCTTATTAATGCTCAGATGCTGTAAGAACTCCAAGGAATGATATTTCATTGTGTTTCTGTTTTTACAGGCAGACATGCTTGAATAATGAAAGTATTAATTCAAGCAGTAGGAAAAAGAATACATTTAGAGTTGTATGATGGAGAGCAAGCAGATCCAAATGTGAGGCTCTGTGGCTTCTGGAGTCAGATGGCCTTTATCAACAGTTTAATCTCATTGAAGTTCTCTAAGCTTGCTTTCTCATTTTTAAGATGAGGATAACGATATCTACCCTACAAGTTACAAGGTTGTTGGCAGTGTACGTAGTGGATCTGGTGAAATAAATGGCAGTGACCTTAGAGGAGGATTGTTGGAATGGAGTATTAGGAAGAAAAACATCTCCTGCCCTCACTCTCTCCTCTCTTACAGCCTGCCCTGCCCCTCAGATTAATGACACTAGAAAACTTATCAAATAATAATAATGCCATGAACCCGAGGAGTTACATGTTTTATCACAAGCTGGTATTATAAACTAATATAGCTTTGGCAGGGTTTTTCATTACTGAGAGTTAAAGCAGTTAAAAATTTTATTTAAATATATACTGTGAAACATTTTAATTTGCCATTTTTTTTACTAGAGAACCAGAATTTTTGGCATTAGAGGAGATTATCTTCATGTTTACAAAACTACCCTAGTAACTATTTGGAGTATATCACATTAGTTAACAGCACATCTGCTCACTTCAGAATATCTTTCTGAAAATTAGAGATCTGTTGGAGTTTAAATGTAACATTGAATTGCAGTTTATGTAGGGTTTTATATCCTAGTTGCTAATGTACTTTGCTGCATTATCTGATTTAAAGGCTGAATCGCTCTAAACTTCTTCATTTCCCTCTCTTTTCAGATCATGTGTCAGTTGGAGGACTAGGAGACAGCTTTTATGAATATTTGCTGAAGGCATGGTTAATGTCTGACAAGACAGATCTAGAAGCTAAGAAGATGTATTTTGATGCTGTTCAGGTAAACCCAATACTTAAATCATCTTTTCCACTCAGGTCTAAGTTATAACTTGCATATTAATCAAGCTTTAGTGAAACGATGAAATACTACATGAGTGGGTTACAAACCATTTCCAGTTAGATAGAGTTCAGTATCTGCCAATATCACTACAACAGTAGTCATCATACTTAATGTGTTTAATTCTAATAGGGCAATGAGACATTTTTTACATGATTCCAACATCAATTAAGATTCATGTATCTGAGAGGTATTCTTTTATGAGTATGTGTTTCCTGCTTAAAGCCACAACTAAAATTAAAGAAAAAAAATCTTGAATTTGTATTTGGAAAATTGCCCAGGATTGCAAACAGTCCTAATGATTATCTCCATGTGAAGTAAACTTGTCTCCAGGGGATATATGGACATTAGATTATACAGATGTGTTATTATTTCTAAGGAAATCCACATATAAAAATCTGAATTAATCAAGTATTTAAGGGTAGATTATTAATAATTTTTAATGGTCCCTTATGGAAAAAGAATGAGTGGGAGCAAACATTTGTTGAATTACCTAATGTGTGCTAAGCAATATGTTAGGTAAGTACTTTAAATAAGGGTTGTTTGGGCTTTTTTCTCACAATATTTGCAGGTAGATGTTATTCACTAAGTTATACAAATATGAGAATTAAACCTCAGGCTGAATGTAGAACCAAAATTCAAACTAAAATCTCTCTTTTTTTACTTCACCGCTATAGATTCATTTATGAATAAGAACTTCCATACTACATTTCAATGTTTATTTACAGGCATAGATAAGTTAGAAACTACTTATCAAAGCCTATAGGAGGTAGCCAGTATAAAAGTAAACTACGAAACATCTCCAGTTAAGCCTCAATCAAAAATAAAAATAAAGTTAGAAAATGAACAAAGTCAAGAAGAAAATTATTTTATGTAAAACGCTTGAACTCATACTCCGCTTTTTCAGAACAAATTATTTTAGCAGAATTGGGTACCTTTGTCACTGATAAATATATATGTATATATATTATAATTTTTAAATATTAATTATTATCACGGCATCTCAAATAATGTTATAAAGTTGTGACTAAACCCTTAGAAAATTGACCTTTGTATTGACCACCTAGAATTTTTTACAATCAAGAGTAGTTTTAAAAAAAAAATGGGAGATTTGTAATCACAGTGATATATGCATAAGGAGGTCTGGATGATTTTGACATAGGCCATTTTATTTAAATGTAAATGAAGTTTGCTTTGTTCTAGTTTGACTACTTTGAGTATTATGTTGGTTTTCATCCCGAGGTCAATTGGGAGCTTCACTAAGCAGAGCAGATACAGCTTTTGACTATTTCGCATATAGAAACCAGAAGCACCTTAGTTAGAACGTTGACCTTCATTTATTAAGACACATGATGAACGTCAAAAGCAAACTAAGAATGGTCCATGTGACCTCTGCCAGCCTTATTTTCCTTTGTTCCTGCAAGGTTTCAGGCGTTAACCTAGAGAGTTCTTCTCCATATATTATGGTTTTCATTATGTCATCTTCTAATTACCATACTGGCAGTCATTTTAATTATTCTAATTTTAAAGTGGCCGCCTAGAGCTTATGGTTCTAGGAAGGGCAGATTTAAAATACTCTTTGAAATATTTTTTCTCCGGTTTCTAGAACTATACCCACAGAACTTTTAATATACTGTACTTAGACAAATCATTGACAGAAATGTCCATTAAGAACAAATGAAGTCAAAGTGTTTCCTGTTTCTGTTAACAGTAAAAACAGTTTCAATCCATTATATGTTTTCAACCTAGAAGGCAAAGCTTGAACAACTGAACTTCTGACTTGAGAAGTAGCAGAGTCTTACATAGCAAAGTTTATTTTTGCTAAATTGTACTTTAAAAGACCATCATTATCTAAACAGAATGTGGTAAAGGAATGAAGTTCTAATACATGCTATGACATGGATGAACCTTGAAAACATTATGCTAAGTGAAATAAGCCACATACAAAAGGACAAATGTTGTATGATTCCTTTTATGTGGACTATCCAAAATAGACAAATGCATAGTGACGTGAAGTAGATTAGTGGTTACCGTGGAGGAACAGGGAGTTACTGCTTAATGCGTCCCGAGTTTCTGTTGAAGCTGATGGGGAACTTTTGGAAACTAGTGAATGTAAAATGAGTATAAAAATGGTTAAAATGGTAAATTCTATGTTATATGTATTTTACCATAATTTTAAAAAAAACATCATCATTATCAGGCAAAGGATCACTTACATTATTGTTCTGGACAGTTGAAGTATTAGTGGTAAGATAACTGTTTTAGCATCAAAATGAATTTTGGAAAGCATTTAATCCCAAAGTGGTGTATTTTCTTCAGTTGTGTGAATAACAAAATACTTTAAGCTTTAAACTGGCTCTTACGGCCCTATCTGTAGACCACTCTAAGAATCCACAGTAGTAGATACTCGCCTTGCCAGTTGTCCATGGGAGTGTGTGGTACATGAGCAGGTGACATATCAGATACTTAAGAGTCTAAAGCCTTATCAAAATATTTTGTTTAAATATAAAAAGATGAAATAACAAAATCTACAGTACTCTTATTTCCTACTCAAGGCTTAACACAAAGTTTTTGTACCACTACTAATGACTGTTTTGTCCTCCTTTGTATATATTTACATTTTCCCATCACCACACAAAGCCACGGCTTTGCAGACCTTGGAACTTCATTGTAGTTTATTTTGAGAGGTAGCAACTTGGTCAGAATCATGCCAGAAATAATACTTTATTCAGGATCCATAACAGGGTAATAATGTTTCTGTAACCCATGCTCAAAAGCTATTACTCTTGCCATGTAGAAAGAATAATTTCTTAGGTGATGAACAAGTATCTGCTTGAAGAACTTTATTGCAGTTTGTGCCATGAGAAGCGTAAATAGCTAAGATGTTCTATTGCGTTAAATAAGAATGAAATATTAATGTGATAACTAGACCATCAATAAAATTAGCTTAGCCACAGTTAATGAGCACAGTAGTATGTTCATTTATTTCTTTCAATCTTGGTATCATTTGTGTATTTCTGATAAAGGCAGGAAAGGTTTTATCTGCCTGTGTATTCATGTTCTCTATCAGAACTTTTTTCTGTGTCTATTGTTCCCAAATATGCTTCCAAAAAACTCTTCTTTTTGGATAGTAGTATAACAGGTATAGACACAATCAGAGCCCTTTTCTTTCAATGAAGTAATTGGGGGGAAAATGGTTCTTGTTAAAGTAAGTGGAAATGAGTAATTCTAAACATGCTTCATATGTTAAAACATAAGGCTTTATTTTCTGTATTTATCTTGTTTAAAATATTAACAGTCTGAGAACAGACTTACAAGATGTTTAATAAATTATTTTTGTAAACATTACCATTTCTCTCAAGTTTAAACATTTTTACTCCTCTTTTAAAAAATACTTTTTCATTGTATACTAATGTGCTTTTTAATAGGATTATTATGCAGGAACTCGATTGAAGTGTTAACACAATAGAGATGTAAACAGTGATGATAAAATGACATTTCTCAAGTGCCAGCCACAGTGCTGACTGCTTTATAAACAAAACATTGCTGAAATCCTCAGTAGATGGCATTATTCCCATTTTATGGATAAGGATACTGAGACTTAGTATTTATTTACCCACAAAGTTCACACACATTAAATGTCAGAGCTGGAATTTGAAGCCAAGAAGTCTGGCTTCAGAACAACTCCTTTTGTTACTCTGTTTTGTTATCCCTTGGAGCCAAAGGTGACTCCCATCCAAGAAGAGTTATGCCACCAGCCCAGATTTCATCCACAAATATGCTCTGTTCTTCATCCTTGGTGTAGGGCCTGTGCCTTGCGTTGTTTCTCCAGTTGGAGGAATGGAAATGCACTAAACCTACTGTTCCCACTGCTCTGTGGCCTGTCTTTGAGAGGGGGCAGCTTTGCGTGTGAGGACTGTGAGTGTTTGGGTCACGGAACCAAGCAAAACCAACTAGGCTGGTCCCCCAGCATTAATTGTAACTAACCAAACTAATAAACTATATATAGGCTAGAGGAAGAATACAGAAAACAGTAACATAAAATATCAGATCAAGTTGGTTTTGTAGCACAAAATTCAAATTGTGAGTACTGTTTTTATTCCTTTTTTTTAAATATTGAAGGTGTTTTTAATATAAATTTGAGAAGAGTATAAATTTGAGTATAAATTCAACAGTATAAAATATTGAAAATAAGTTTTATTTTTTAGGCAATTGAGACTCACTTGATCCGCAAGTCTAGCGGGGGACTGACTTACATCGCTGAGTGGAAAGGAGGCCTCCTGGAGCACAAGATGGGCCACCTGACCTGCTTTGCAGGAGGCATGTTTGCACTTGGTGCTGACGGAGCTCCTGCAGGCCTGGCCCAGCATTATCTTGAACTGGGGGCTGAAATTGCCCGTACCTGTCATGAATCTTACAATCGCACATGTGAGTACTTCTTACTCTTCATTTACAATCTATTCCCATGTGCTTTTACTTCATTCAATAAGGAACTTTGTCATTGCTACCATTGAAAGAATATCCACTGTGCTTGATGATAATGACTAATATCATAAAGGAATTTATGTTTCTATTTTAAAAGACACTGTTTTTCTACATGAAAACATCTACCCTTAGTTGAAACAAAAATCTAGGCCATAAAGGGTTAAGCCAGTCTAATTTATTGACCCCTGATTTAAGTAAATAATATTGAGCAAGGATCTCTGTCCTAGTGCATAAAGAAACTTAGTATTTTGTAAACCGTTGTGAATCTTGCCAATGTCCCCATGAAATAGATCATTAATGGGCTCCTCTCTAATAAAATAAGAGGCTGCAGCACAAAGATTAAATAACTGGCCTTTCATTACATATCAACTTAGAATTCTCAACCACTGATTTGTTGGGTTCTCAGTAAATGGTCATTAAATGAAAGAAAATAAAGGCTTGTTAACCATTTACTGTGGGCTCTTTTAGATGACTAAAGTTTAAAAATATATTGAATATTATAAATTCTGTGAGGTTTATAACTATTCCTTAAAATAATTTTTTTGCATCTCTTGAATGTGTTTGAGCACTCTAGTTGCATTGAAGTTATAGACACTAACTGTTGTCCAGGACAATAACCCTTGTCATCCACTGCATGTTCTTTAGATGTGAAACTAGGACCAGAAGCTTTCAGATTTGATGGTGGTGTTGAAGCCATTGCTACAAGGCAAAATGAAAAATACTACATCCTACGACCAGAAGTTGTTGAGACTTACATGTACATGTGGCGACTGACTCATGATCCAAAGTACAGGAAGTGGGCCTGGGAAGCTGTTGAGGTGATTTTTTTAAATTTATTTATATTTCTTATAGATAAATGTCTCAGTAAAAAATGTTCAGTGATGCCTCTAAATCTGGCATATAAACTTTTCTGTGATTTTTAAAGCTTTGACCAGGGTTTTTTCCATTGAGGACTGGGTGTTTTCAGTTAAGTCATTTTATATCCCTGACTTCACTTTTGCTTTATGTAACTAGTATCCAGTCGACGTTGAGTCCAGTCTGACTCATGGTGACCCCATGCGTGTCAGAGTAGAACTGTGCTCTGTAGAGTTTTCAGTGGTTGATTTTTCAGAAGTAGATCACCAGACCTTTCTTCCAAGGTGCCTCTGGGTAGACTTGAACCTCCAACCTTCCATTTAACAGCCGAGCATGTAGTCTTTCAGGGCTGGGCATGGTAACTCAAGAACCTCTCTTTTGAATGTGAGTTCCACAGCTTAGGGTCCAGTTTGCTCTTTTGTTGTTGTTAGGTGCCATCGAGTCGGTTTCAACCCACAGCGACCCTACATACAACAGAACAAAACACTGCCTGGTCCTGCACCACACTCACAGTCGTTGTTATGCTTCAGCCCGTTTTTGCAGCCACTGTGTCAGTCCATCTCATTAAGGGTCTTCCTCTTTTTCACTGACCGTCTTCTTTACCAAGCATGATAACTCTCTACTTTATCAAGGATGATGCTCTTTTAGTAAATTTATAAAACCCCTGGCTTACGTTGAAATTACCATCAAGCAATGTTAGTCACTACGTTAGCTATTCTTATGTCACATCTCTTTTGTTCTGTTCTTGTTTGTCTCCACCCATATTTTCAGTTTATAAAGACATCTTTAAATCATCTTTCTTCCCAGCCTTGTTTCACTGATATACTTTATAAACCTGCTTTCGTTGTCCTAACAAAATTTCTTAATACTAATGTTGAACAAAATACGCAGAAGTATGTAATCCAGCAGTACGATACTAGAAAGTTCCTCCAACAATTAGCAGCAGTCCATGAATCACAGATTGATGTTCTACCACTTACGAATTTACCTGACAGAAATAGCATCTAACTGACATTTCCTTTAGTTTTCCTCAATGATGTTATGAAAAGTGTTACTAAATTCTTCCCGATTAAACATCTGATAACTTTATGGTATGAGCTTTATCAGAATATTAATTATGCATATATATTTGTGCGTAGGTAAATATAGATTACATAAATGTCTACAATGTATAAGTATATATGGATTATATAACTGGTCCACTGTAGAGGATAAACTGATTTATCTAGGAATTTTTTTAGCATAGACATTTTTCTCTAGTCCCCTAAATCCAGCCCTTTTATACATGAAAATTCTGTCTCACCAGAGCGAGTGATTTGTCTTCCCAGTTCATTCTGCAGCTACCTTCTTCCCCAGGCTTAATCCTTGTCTTCAAACTCTCTTTGATGTGCCCATTTTATCTAACTCTATGTGTTCTACACTTGAGTTTAGACCAAACTCAACCAGACAGCCTTAGCTGCGTTCTTCCAGCTGTTTACTTCCCATCTTTAATCTGGTAGATAAGAGAATGCTTTTCTATCATTGCCATAATGCTGTCTGACTTGTTGTGATTCAACTCATGCTGCTCGTTATTATCTTGCAATCACTTGGGGTCAGGTTGGTCTTTTATCCTATGTGTAGAGCTACAATTATGGTAAACATTCTGATATTCTTCTTTTCCCTGCAGTTAGCACATCTTGGTCACATATGATCACTGAAACTGTAAGCATTTGCGTAAAATTGAGGGAGTGCCTGTGCCTAGAGGCTAAGAGTCCCCAAAACATAATAAAATGATGTTCTGAGGAAACTTCAATGCATAGACATGTGGCTGCTTCTACTCTTGAGATATTAGTAAAATGAGGACCTGTTATGAGGGCCCTGGTGGTTCTGTGGTTAAGTGTTTGGCTGGTTACCAAAAGATCATCAGTTCGAATCCACGAGCTGTTCCTTGGAAACCCCATGGGGCAGTTCTGCTCTTTCATATAGGGTCGCTGTGAGTTGGAATCAGCTTGGCAGCAACAGATTTGATTTATAAGGGCCCAGGAGATCTTCACATTCCTAAAGTCTTAAAATTTAGACTTTTGACATGAAGGCATTTCAGTTTTTAAATGAAAAATGCCTGTTTTGTCATTTTACCTTTTTTTAAAATTTATTTACTAAAAGCCTGACAAAATTAAAGACCTTTTTGGTGGCACAATGGTTAAGTGCTCAGCTGCTAACTGAAAGGTTGGTGCTTCAAACCCACCCAAATAGCTCCGCAGGAGGAAGACCTGGCGATCTACTTCCATAAAGATCACAGCCTAGAAAACCTTATGGGGCAGTTCTGCTTGGTCACGTGGGGTCGCTATGAGTCAAAAATCAACTCAATGGCACCCAACAACAGCAAGAACTTCATTATCTTGTTTTATTCCCACTGCAACCCCATGTGGAGGGCATCATTAACCCCATTTTACATATAAGGAAGGTGATGGTGGCTGGGTCAAGGAATCTCTGAGGCCACAGTAAGGACGTCTAGAGCTGGAAGTCAGCCTGCCACTCTGGAACTTTAGATTGTACTCTTTGCTATAGCTTGCCACGTGAGGACTGTGGGAGTAGAGAATGCATGGGGGTGAACCGGGAAGAGGAAAATGCTTAGACATTGTCTAAATACCCCAAAGCAACTTTTTTCTATAACAGAAGAAGGAACTTACAGAAATTTCTATTTTTTGAGAGGGTGGCTATTTATCTTGCCTGGCCCTTCATTAGCATATCGTGAAAGAACCTCAAGGAAACAGCCAAGAAAAAAGCTTTGTGGTTAAAATATTTTCTAGGAAATGCTCAGATATGAGGCTTCATTATGTTCCGTAACAAGCTTGCTCATTTTCTCTAAATCCTGATTTTTTTTTTTTTTGTTTTACCTTTTTAAAATATGTATTTTAGCCTGTTTCATGTGTCTGGCATTTGACCTTTTTAATTGTACAAAGGATCAAAAGAGGAAGGGAGGGAAAAATAATAGGACGTGAAAGTTTCTTCGTACTTTTCCCGCATTGACTCATTGTCTGGAGTGTGGAATTTATTCAAAGCTTTTTTTAGCTGATTGTACCTATTTTCCTAGGGGCTTTTAAATGTACCAAATCCTGAGGCATTTTCTTTATTCACGTAGCTTGCTGGTCGGGTTTGCTTTAACATGGTAATTAAATGCTTCTTCTCATGGCCTGATGCTCCCTCCCCTCCAGCCCTGGTGTGAAAAACCAATATCCTCATTATCAGTATCTGCAGATGGAAGCTGAGCTTCATTGCAGTGTTTCTGCTCATGAGAAACTGGCTAGTATTCAACTGCCTTCTCGTTTCTCAGATGCACACATCCTTAGGGCCCTGTTTTCCTCGAAAACCCTTTTCTAGCCATGCAGGGTTTCCTCAACTAATATGTCGAGGTCTATGCTTTCTAACTTCTTAATAGTTGGACTAAATGGGAGAAAAATGATATATAATTATGTATGTAAAAAAAAGGACAAGATATGATTCATAAGAGAAAACTGGAAGATCAATGAAAAATGACCTGAGAACCTAAGATTAAATTTACCTCATTTATATTTTCTATATGTTCTTTATTTCATTACAGATATTAGGGCTTTAGTCTTAAGCTTTATTCTTTTTCTCCACGTTCTTCTGAATTAGAACCAGATTTCAGATGGCAGTTTTTTTACAATAAAAATTTTTATTTGACCATATAACTAATAGGATTAGCAGGATCTGGGGAGTAGAAAGTATGCCTGCTAACTAACAAAGCAGCTAATGTAGCTTCAAAATACAAACAGTAGTCAACTTAGCGGCAGCTGACATAGTAGAAGACAGCTTACTTTTAGGTTTTTTCTAAATTTCTAAATTTAATCCCCACACTTCCCAACCTGACTCTTTCTCAAATACTCATTATATTCAGACAACTACAGGAATGTAGGGTCATTTCTCTCCCTAAGTAGTTGCAGTGGATTCATCCCAACTGCATCTAACCCAAACTAAAGAAAAGTATACTTGAGGACTAAATGCCAGCCACATTTTTCTCACTGCCCTCGATTTTCTTCTTCGAGCTCTGTCACCAACATCACCACTTAGTAGCCCATAATCTATTTTTAAGAAGTAAGATGTTCTGATTATAGTAGCACCTGTTTTCAGTCCAGTGCACTTTCTCAACCAGCAGTTTATAATCTCAATTGACATGAACAATATCCCTAGACCAGGGGTCAGCAAACTTTTTTTGTAAAGGATAGAGAGTAAATATTTTAGGTTTGGAGGCCATACAGTCTCTATCACAACTAGTCAGTGCTGCAGTTGCAGTGCGAAAACAGCCACAGATGATACATAAACAAATGAGCATGGCCGTGGTCCAGGAAAACAATATTTACCAAAACAAGCAGTGGACTGGATTTAGCCTGCAGTCTGTAGTTTGCAGAACCCTGCTCTAGACCATAGGAGGAAGTGGTAACAATCAGTGAAAAATTACTCTGGAGCTAAATGTTTCTATTAGGTGGGATATACTGCCCCTATGTCCTTTGGCTTTTCATATTTTATTTGCATTTACATTCTATTGGGTTTTTTTTTTTCCTCCTAAAACTCCGTTACAAGTTTTCATTCAGTTTGAATCCTTATTTCATTTGAATTTGATGATCTAATAATCAAAATCAGTGACAATCAGTTTAGTTAAATGTAGCCATTTTTGCCTCTCCTCTCTGTAATTTAGGCCCTGGAAAATTACTGCAAAGTGAATGGAGGCTATTCAGGCCTACGGGATGTTTACGTCAGACATGAGAGTTACGATGATGTGCAACAGAGTTTCTTCCTGGCAGAGACACTAAAGTGAGTAACAATTATTCTGAAAGTATATGGCTGAGGTAGCTGGACAGATGTTTATAGTTGTCTTTATTATGAGCAAATAACCCCAAATATTAAACATATACCATGGAGTTGATGCCAACTCATGGCAACCCCATGTGTGTCAGAAACAAATCCCAGGCCTTTTTCTGAGGTGCTTCTGAGTGGACTCAAACCCCCAACCTTGCAGTTAACAGCCAAGCACCTTAAACATTTGCTCCACCCAGGGACTCCCCCCAAATATTAGAGGCTTTTAAAAAGTACCAGTCACAAAACATTTTCTTCATTCATGTAGCCTGCAGGTTAGATTTTCTTTAATGTGGTAGTTAAATGCTTCTCTTCGTGGCTCCCGTGAGGCCATGACTGATGTAGACCCTAGTTCAGGATGCTATTCTACACACATGACAATAATTGCAAGTGTGTCTTTCAGTTGTTACTAAAGTTAATGACTTGGAACTGCTTTGTATAGTTCTGGTACACTAATACTAAAGCCCAGAGTAGCTTTTACTCTATGTTAATGTGTATCCCCTCAGGGTTTTGATACACTTGACTGTTCTCTGTAGTTCTCCATAGAATGAATGGCAACATAGATGTGATTTTTGCTGTGTCTTTGTAGTTTTACTGCCTAACATGGTCTCTTGGGTCTCATATGCTCTTGTTTCTCTCGCCAGGTATTTGTACTTAATATTTTCTGATGACGATCTTCTTCCACTGGAACATTGGGTCTTTAATACCGAGGCACATCTTCTCCCTGTACTCCATACGGATAAAAAGGCACTTGAGGTCAAAGAACAATAAAAAGACGTTTTATATTTTACTCTGCTCCATTCCCTTCACTGCATACCTTAATAATTCCTTTTCTGGTATTCAGGCACATGACAAATTTTTATTAATAGAGCTGTGATTATTCTAAGTTTTATATTTGTTTTGCAGTCTTTTATGTTTATTATCATAAGCATCACCCGTTGCTGTCAAGTTGATTCCAACTCATAGCCACCCTATAGGACAGAGTAGAACTGCCCCATAGTGTTTTCAAGGAACAGATGATGTATTCAAACTGCCGTCCTTTTGGTTAGCAGCCAAGCTCTTAACCACTGTGCCACCAGGGCTCCAATTGTAAGCATAGATGGACCTAAATTTCTGATTGTATCCTTTATTATTCCACCAGTGGAGCCACAGGGTTTTTCTTTTTTACATAATCTATTATCGCTGGAGTTCACGAAGTCATAGTATAATTTTTATTAAACTGAATAGGATGGTATACCAATGATTTCTTAATTACAATTTTGATTTGACTGCAAAACTTCTTCCTCCTCTATGAGGAGATGATGTCTGCTTTAAGCTGTAATGTTTTGCCATGTTGCAAAAAGCCATAATAATAAATTAAGTATTAAACAAGCTTTTTTCTTTTCAACTTCATGTTAAGCTGGTTTGTCTACCCACCAGAGACAGATCTTATAACTGTGACAGCCTCCTTCTTATGCGGGTCTATCATTATTTGATAGAGTATCTTCTAAAATCTTCACTAACATTGTAATTCAAATTAGGAAGTCATACAAAAATGATCATCTCATGTTGACCTCATTTCATTGGAACTGAAGTATATTTTTGTTGATTAATTATATTAGTGCTTCCTAATTTGTGAATTTGTTCTCAGATTTTACTTTAAATGTCCTGTGTCATTTCTGGATCATGTATTGGTTAATTTCTTCCGTTTCCTACTACACAATGGAACGCAAAAGTTTTACAGAGCTCTGCTACCACTGAATTGTATTTTTAAAAGGGAAAAAATATAACTTTTCGTGTGTTCGCTCTTGCTTTTAACTGAGTATATGAAGCAATTGGGTCTCTCTAAAGAGAGGGTATTTCAAATGGTTTTTAGTCTATTTGTTTGCATTTTATCTTAATTTTTTTTTTTTTTGAGAAAAAGAGAGTATTCCATTTGATTCAGGTTCGAAAAGGACCCTTTCTCAAATGCAGTCAATTATTTCATTTTAATTTAGAAAGCAAGATTTGACTTTGTGAAAGAAGCTTTGCCAATTTGTCTATTCATGGTCATTTGAGGAAAATCTAACACACTTTTAGGCCAAATAAGAATATAGTACATTTAGTGTGGTAAAACTCAACATAGAGATAGATCCCAGCTTAGAAGCAACATGTAGGTATGCCTACTCCCAACCCCCACAGTCCTGCAGCAGATCAAAATAATATGATTCTTCAAAACATTAAGTTTTGATATATTAACTGTTTTCCCAAGAATAGATTGGTTACACCTTGTGTTTTCTATCACATTGGTTCATATTTTATATATATTTCCATGAAAGGGCTAATACAATGATGCATACTGAGGTACTTGTAGACTTTGAACCACCAAAATTTTCAACCTGTAGTGGTCAAACAGATCAGTGCAACCCCATAGATTAGACAGAACCACATGAAATTGCCATATTTGTAGTTCATAAACTGTCAGATAACAGCAATTTTGTATAATTCAGCCTAATATTTTTTAAAGACAGTGATAGTTTTCTTAGGTCTCAATCGACTTAATTGTTTCTGCTGTAAAGTGTTGTAAAAGATTGCCTTTGTCTGAAAGGACCAACTTGTGTGAGCTGCTTTTTTTTTTTCCCCCAGTATTGTACATGCGGTATATCTCAAAGAATAAGTTAATAAAATTAGTAAATGAAAGTATCCTTCAGTACATCATGATTGCCTTGTTAATGTTTTTGTGACCCCGGATAACTTCTCCCACCCGTATTTTCTGCTCACCTAATGAAATAAATGGCTAGTGACAGTCCTTTTTACCCAGGACTTAAAGGAAAGTATAAAAAATTATTGCCAAAATTGGACCATATGTATTTAGGTTATAATTTTCATATAGACATCCTTTGACTAGCAACTTAAAGTAATTATTTTCTTTGCTTTTCAATTTGATTTAAAAGAGCACAAAGCTGGTATATATTTCTGCAGTAGATGAGAGTATTAAAATCAGGTTGTATGTCCACACTGCACTATAATTACCATTTATATCCTGGTGTAAGTAAACAAGAAGATTGTACTACACATTGTTCTGCCAATGGTAAGAACAAAGTTTTTTTTTAAATTCTAAAACTTGGATTTTTTTATATAATTCCAAAAACACCAAAAATGTAAACAAGAGATCAATGGTGATATCCTGTGTCATTTCTGGATCATGTATTGGTTAATTTCTTCCATTTTCTACTAGACAGTGGAACGCAAAAGTTTTGCAGAGCTCTGCTACCACTGAATTGTATTTTTAAAAGGGAAAAAATATAACGTTTATGTATGGTGATATAATTAGTTATATTTTGTGTTAATTATTTTAAACAAATGAAGTTGTTAGGTAGATATTATCTTTTGTTCATTTCCAGCAAAATTGTGCAGTTAAGTTTACAAATATATTCACACCCTAAAGGGTGAATAATTAAAATAGCACTTAATTTTGTGTTTATGCAATATGTTTTTGATATACTTTGTGCAATTAATATTACATATACAGGTAGTATGGCAATTTACAGAACCCAGTGATGTTTGTCATAACTTCTTCATGTGTATTACCCATTCTTTACATTGATTGTTTTTGATTTGTACATAAATCCATTCTGTCATTTCCAACTTTGTATAAATCTCTAATGTTATGGGATACATAATAGATTGACACATAATTTTTAAAAGCTATATTTGTAAAATTTCTCTATCGTGAATAAAGCCTTAAGCCTTTTAATATATCTCCTTATTCTGTTTTTCTCTTTTAAGTAACCTGTATATCCAGAGGTGAGTGCCTACAGTTGCAAATGAAAACATTAAATCCTTTAGAGGTTCTATACCACACCTAGAGAATCTTGACAGGGAAACATTTCCCATTAAAAACTTTAAACTGCAGATGGTTGTACATTTGGTTAATCAGATACCTTTATGAAGAATCTAACATGTTAAACACTAGGGCATGCAGAGTAGGGGTGAAGGGGAGGGGTTAGTGTCAGAAATAGCACAAAGTATGATCCTTGTTTTTAAGTTTGCAATCCAATCAAGATTAGACTAACCACCCAGAAACAAGACAATAGCATTTAGTTGTGTTAAATTACAAATTAAATTCTGCTGTAGAAGTTCAGGGCAGCCGGAGGTCATTCGGAGTTGAGTAGAGAGGCTTAGTGGAAAAGAGATGCTACAGGAGAGCTTACAATATTTCTGATAAGAAGTAAAGCACCAAGCCTTTCTCCCATAGAGCCACTGGGTGGATTCCAATTACTAATCTTTGTACCACCAGGGCTCCTTATATTACTTATTTGTTTTCTTATATGTTTATTGTTTGTCTAACTCCTTGAATTTAAGTTCCATGAGAGCAGAAACTATTTGGCGTTCTTTTTTCCATTGCTTTTAACTCCAGTTCCTCGAACAGTATCCAGTGGATGTTTGGTTAATGAGTGGATGTTTGGTGAATGAGTGAATGAACAAATGAAATTCCACTTTAGTTGGGCTTTGCTACAACTATTTACAAATGCCTTTTAATAAGCATTAAATTTTTAAAAAGATATTAAGTTCTTGTATTACATAAGGTTTAGATCAGATTATTGTAAAAATGGGCAGTATTTTTATCACTACTGGTAAATTAAGAGATTATGGAGTAAATTTGTGTTTGTAATTGGAATCAACTCTCAATCAACAAATATTTTTTTTTTAACTACTTGTATGAGAGGTACTATGAGAGGCCCTGTAAGTCATGATTCCTCCAATAGTTTTTTGAATGTTACGGTTTAAACAGCCTTCCGTTTTCTGCGACATAATTTCACAGTCCCTCTCTCATATAAAGAAAATATTTCAACAGCATTGAGCAAAGGAATTGGTTTCTCACTTAACATAGAGTTAGTCAAATTCAACCATTTGTAACATACCTTTGACATTGTGTTTACCCTGTTGGTGACAGAATTATTAAAAATTATTTTAAGCATGATTTTTGTTTACACTGTCAACCATCCACACAGAGATGTCAGCTTGGCAACTCATACTTCTGATTTCTGATAACTATATGTAGACATTTGCTTAATGTTTTTAGAAAAGTTAACAGAAAATCGTTTTTCATTTAGGCATAGCATTCATGTATCTAACTGCCGTTCAAGCGGCCTAGATTGGGTCTGGAATGTGTAGGTGAGGAGGAGAATCTTATTTAATCTTTTTTAACTGATTTAATGGCTCAAAGACTGATTTCTATTTTTTCCCGATCATTCCATTCACACTAGCCAACACATGAGTCATAATCTTCAAGCAGTATTTGCCAGGCATCAAGATACGCATATAAAGTTTTAGAACTACATGGGAGTCTAGACGTCATTTAGTCCAACTCTTATTTTCAATATGAGGAAACTGGGGGATTTTTCCAAGATCAGAAACTCTTTTCTACACTGGCTCTATGCGACAAAGACACAGGGATATGATATGGGGGTAAGATTTTATACTAATGAAAAAAAGTATATGAGGATACATGTCTGTCCAACCACCCACTCCTCTTGACTACCAAAATAAACGTGCAAATTCAGAATTCAATCTTGGGAATTTGTCTAAGGACGTTTCTCAAGGTGTGGGCTACAGTCACTTACATCAGAATCTCTTCGGAAGTTTATTAAAATGCAGATTCAAGAGCCTTACTCCAAATTTAACAAATCAATTGTGGTCCCACCTATTATTGCCATCGAGTCGATTCCAACTCATAACAATCCTATAGGACAGAGTAGAACTGCCTCATAGGGTTTCCAAGGAGCAGCTGGTGGATTCAAACTGCCAACCTTTTGGTTAGTAGCCGAACGCTTAACCACTGCACCACCAGGGCTCTTCCCTGGAATGTACATGTTAACTAGCTCTTTGTGTTATTCCTTTGCATAATAAAGTTTGAGAAGCACAATTTTCAGCTAGATGTTGGTGCAAGTCCCAACGCTGGTGAAGTACTTAAATTAGCTAGTCATGACTAGCATATATGTACCTTTTTCTGTATTTTTGTTTCTACCTCAAGGTTCAAACACAATAACTTGAGACAAAATTTTGATCACTTTGGAAATGTAGATTCATCCTTTTATAAAAGTGTTTCTGAGCAATGAGCTATACACCTAAGTCTTTTAGAAACAGATTCACACTGGATTTGTAAGCATAATTCTTTCTCATGGGAGGAATCCTATAAGTATTACTTCAATCATCCCCGTTTCTATCAGTGACTATTTCATTTGCTTTCTTCTCCGGATAGCTGCTTTCAAAGTCAGTTCTCAAATTGCTTCTTCTGTTCTTGTTGATTTTAACGTGATTGTCACTTGCATAGACTACTTAGAAATCCAAGTTTGGCCATAGGTCATGTAAATGTAAAAGATGTTCTTGGAAATGATCTCTGAAAAGTGCCTCATTTTCCCTCCTCTGGTGTTTTTACATTCATTGCAATGCTAATCATCAAAAATTTGTTGGCTCACCATTATTATGATCACTTTCAATCCCCTTAAAACTTGCCATTACTTACTGAATAATTTAACTCAAATCGTGTCACAGATCCATTTAATTTCCTAGTGAATGCAAATTACCACAAAACCTCAGAAAACAGTGATAGATTTATAACTTTAAAAAAAAACTTCCACCTACTGAGATATTTTGGCCTTAGGCTATGAGCCTATGTTAATTAATAATTCTTCAAGCAAGGCCATGAATGCACTTCTGTTCAAATAGCATCTTCCAAAATGGCATGCACCTGAGAATATGTTCTGTTTTGGTTTTTTTAACTCTCCCAGCAGAAGCAAGTGAATGATCCTCATTCACAAATCTTTGGGAATTTTGTTCCTGGTTTTCTGACTCTTTTGGAGTTTTTTGTGGAAAATAGAATCACTTAGCTTATCACCTCTTAGAACCAGCGTGGGTAACCTCAATGTCAAATTCTTAAAGGAGGTACAGTGGTATTGGTCCCATTTCATGAATATGACAGTTTTGGCCTTTAGCTACCCAAGGCTCTCTTATTTAGTAAGTGTCAGAAGAAGAAGCAAAATCTGAGTCTCTTCCCTCTTCTTTACCACTGTGCCATTCAATGCAACACTTTAACCTCACTGGTTAAATAAATCCTAAGTACATTTCACTGTGGATCACAGTCCTCTTCCATCTTGCTTTTGTCAAATTGATAATTTTGTGATTTACATAGTCTTTGCCAGGAACTGCAGAAAATAAATATTTTAAATGTCTTCATTTTATTAATCCCTCTGGTCTCTTTTCTTTGTCTCTAGATAGTGCAGTATACTACTCGATTCATCCGTGATCAAAGGGAATTGTGTCAGGGAAAAAAAGTTTTCAGAGCAGTCACTGAGACAGAGGCATAATATGCTGACCATATACTATATAATTTTAATCTGGATTTCTAGTCTAACAGCTATGTTTTTCCTCAGTGGTCAAAATCAAGATGTGAGGCCATATGCCCCCAGGAGTCTTGACCAAGTGACCATCTGCATCCCTCAAAATACATGTACTCAGGAAGACTGCTATCTAGATGTTATTGCCAACAAGGTATTTTCTGTAAGAGAGACAAAGAAAATAATCATCTTGTGACCATGCCTGAGCATCCTGTGGAACTGTCTGTAATCACTAACTATAACTATTAATAACCAGGAAGCAATCAGAGTGTGATTATTATAATATTCACTGATTTTTCCTGTAACTGTCCTCCCTATGGTTTGATTCCTCTTTTACCCTGTAAGAATACTTGTATGACAAAACTGCCCCAGATTACCTTGTTCCATTTTTAATGGACTATGTAGTTCCCCAATTGCAATTATTTTAAAGCCTTAATAAATCTGTTTTTAAATTTTCAGACAAAGTGGCCAAGTCACTTTGCTCGTTAACATGAGTGCCAAGCCCACTTTCAGCTCCAACATCCTATGAAGGAGTCACCTCTCCTCTATCTTGGGAAGCCTCCAGTTTGTTTTGTTATGACAACACATTTGCTATTATTTTGCTTGCTGTTTCCAACCACCTTAGGCTTCTTTGAATAGCTTCCTTCAATCAGCCTGCTTTCAACACATGTTATTTGTTCATCTTCCAAGGTCAGAGTTTAGCTCTTATTTTCTGGCATGAGAAGGCAGAAATATCCAGCTCTTTTTCTTCACAGCTATACCATGCATTAATTGAACATTTTCCACTTATTTGTTTTGTTGAAGAGCAAGAGGTTTTCTGTTAGCATTTCTAGAAGAAAAGAAATAAGGATCAAATTGCATGGTTGTTGCACTGATACGAACATTATTATCTATTGTATCATTTGTGTAATCAAATAATCCAGGAAAATAAAACAGTGACTCCCAAGAGTTAAGAACTCCTCTCAGTGCAGTTTTGTTTTCATCTTACGTAACTTTGGAAACCATCAAAATCAATTTTCCAAACTAAGAAGGATTATTGCAATAACTCTTCTGAAAGAGCCAATATTGCTTCCAAAATCAGCTTATATGGTTGAAAATTATTTATAGTGACTTAAACTAATCATATCTGAAGAAAAATGCAGTGAGTGATTTTGATTGAAAGCCTACTTACCTCCCAGCAGTCTACTTACTTTCAGCAGTGAGCAAGTTTACTTCTTGTTTTCATAGAGCTCCAAGACTAGGAGTAAAAAAAAAAAGGAAAATACGTAAAAATAAATTAAAAAATTTAAAAGTCAGGTGTCATGGCTTATTCATCAGTATAAATCCAGGGCTTAATGGCATCTGGCACATATTTGTTTTCC